GAGAGCATTTCCGACCTGAGCAGAAGTGGGAGTAAGATTTTCCTCTGGTCAGAGTAATATAGAAATAATTAGTAGCAGCATCTCCCAGCCCTAGCAGTGAACCAGCCAGCCTGGCTATGTCCAGTAGTTCCCTGGCTACCTGTTACTGTGTCAGAAGCAAAAGAAAAGATATAGGTTAGAGCTGTTTGACAACTCAGAATGGCAGTTTACAAATCACTTCTTCCAGGAAGTTTTCCCAGAGCTCTGCAAGGCCGAGTTAGGTCTTCCTCTAGGGGTTTCCCCCACCCCCCAAATCTTGTATCTAAAAGTAATACTCAAGGACTACAATCCCCTCTTTGTGTTGTCTTCCCTCCCTGCCAAATCTGGCAAAGGACCTTGGGAACAGCCTGTGTCTGTCATACAGTGGACACACAATAAATATCTGTGTCACAAAAGATATATCCTATAAAAATAGACTGTGCAGGGAGTGGGGAGGTGAAGAGTACGGCTTTCAATCAGTAAACTGAGTGCTTTGTGTTGACCTCCCAAGAAAGGTGAGTTCTACCATAGCCCCCGGACTAATTCAGCTCTTCCTGTTCTAGTTCACCTTATCTTGATGAAAAGAGTCATTTGTTTTACATCTTTTATACGAGTAGAGGTAGTTGCAGCCCTTCAAGTAGAACTGTGTGGGGGTGGTAGTTTTCTGATTATGATCCATTAAAGGCTATGTTGTGATTTCGAAAGCTTTTCATTTAGGACCTGAATCAAACCCATACCCAATTTCCTCTGTACAGAAAACAGCATGGTGCTCTTATGGAAATGATTTTTTAATTGTTATTTTAAGTAAAAGCAAAACTGAAAATGTGCATTGAACAAAACAGAATATTCTGATTGGCACATAAAAAAAGAGCTTTAGAGAAAACCAAAAAGGAGTCTACATTTGCACCAGATAGTTTCACGATTTCAAGTCTGGATTTTTGCTAAGTTTGTTTGTTCCCGGCAACTGACAACTTTTTTTCCCCTAATGAAAATTTTCTGTGGAAATGTTAGAAAATGTCCTCTAAGTTACTAATGTTTCACTTGACAGGATACATCTTAGTCTGGTCAGCATCGACCTGGACCAAGGGCTATCATCTGGTATAAGACCACTCATGACCTGGCATAGGTTTTCTCATGAACAACAAGTTCAGAACCTTGGTATGGCCTAAGGTTTCCGTGTATGTGGCCATGCTCCCTTACTCATTTAGCATCCAAAGTTGTGCTGAAATGCGGTGGACATGCATGATCTATTACTGAGTAAATGGATCCAAAAGATAGTAACTTTTATTATTATTATTATTATTATTATTTATTATTATTATTATTATAACCGGGCTGGAGCGATAGCACAGCGGTAGGGCGTTTGCCTTGCACACAGCCAACGTGGCCGACCCGAGTTCAATTCCTCTGCCCCTCTCGGAGAGCCCGGCAAGCTACCGAGAGTATCTTGCCCGCACAGCAGAGCCTGGCAAGCCACCAAGAGTATTCGATATGCTAAACACAGTAACAACAAAGTCTCCAATGGAGATGTTACTGGGCCTGCTCGAGCAAATCGATTATTATAACCATCATTATTTCAAACTGAAGTCTTTATATGAACTATTATACTGAGATATATATATATAAATATAACATAAACAGGAGTTTCAGTGTAGTTGGGGAAGTCGACAGCAATATGACTAAAATAGGTACCCCAAAATCAAGACTGCATTACGTTTTTTCCTATAGTAGAAAGTTGAAAGAAAATTGATTGACATATAGAGCCCACAGTAAACTTGGGGATATGAAATTAAGCACATACACCCCAATCTTAAATGCCCTGCCCTTCACACAGGATCTACTTGATATGCTACAGCTGCCAATAAACATAATTCAGAAATGGGTAAGTTTCTGGCCAGAACAATATGAATAAAAATAAGTGTTCTTTCTTTGAAGGGAAAGAAAGAACTTTCAAAGCCTGCCCCTACTATCACTATAGTCTGCACTGTTGAGGAATATAGAGCAAAATTAAAAGAGGGTCTTTTTGTTCTGGATCCTCCCTGGTATGTGAACAGTGGGGACACTCTGGGACTTAAAGACTCATTTTCTGAATTATTTAGACTCTTTTCTCTCCTGGTGAGCCCTCTGTTAATAGTAACTCCAGACTCCCACTTTCATTTTTGAACATTTCCACAAAGGGTTTAGAGTCCCAGCACTCCAGAGGCCAGTGGTTTCCAGGGTGGATTACACAGTGAGTGTGTAAGCTTTCAGTGGTCTGACAGGCCCCCCCCGCCCCAGGAGACATGTATCAGAAAAGCAAGAAACTGAGTCAAAGTGTTCAAGACATTTCAAAAGCAGAAGAAAGGGAGGAGGAGTGTGTGTTGTTGAAGGCGAGGGGGGGGGGTATAGAATTAATAGTTTCTGAACCAGTTACCAAATCAGTGCTAGAAAATTCTGATGATCTTGGGAACCTTTTTAGTTAAGTTTTTTAAACATGGTTCCCAGTGGGTGAGTTTAAGCTATGACGTCAGTATTCTACTCTCTAATGTTTCATTAGAGATGCAAAAGAAAATGAACAGACCCTTAAGTTCACATTCTAGTAAGAATTGCAGGAATCAGCAATTACTGGGCACCTTGATCTCCTCAATAGTGGATTTAGGTACTCCACGACACATATCCTAGCCCAGACTCCTTTTATAATGGGCTGCTTGCTGTTTGAATATTTAAAAAACAATTCAAAGTAAACACCCCCGAGTCCAGCTCAAACTTTGTTTTGGCATTCTTATAGATCCTGAGGGACTGGAGTTGATTGTCCTTTTCATTCTTTTTTTTTTAATTTCCTCTCCCCTCACATTCTGTCCTTTTTGCCTCCTAAATCCCCTGCAAGTGTATCTTCTTTCTGTCTCAGTCACCATCCTTATCCTCAGCCACTATCACCTGTAATCTCTTGATCTGTTCTCTGTACTTACTTTGGGCTCCCGTGGTGGGTGTGTACTTTCATTAACCAGATTGCGAACACCTCCCCCTATGCAAGATGGTAAGATACCTCTGTGACACTTCCTGTTGCTTTTAGTATAGACTGGTTCTTAGAGTAGCCTACCAAGTCCCAGGGTGGATCTCTGCCTTCCTCCAGCTGAATCTTGAATAGGGTTCCTCACTGTTTGCTTTACTCTGGTTATTCAGCCTTTCCTTTTGCACTTTGCACTTTTCTTCTGCATAGCATACAAGCCTGTATTTTTTAATCATCATACAAATCATTTGACATACAACTATGAAGCAATATATAACAAAATATATCTAAAAGAAGATACAGAAATACACATAGTAAAATAAGATACATAAAAGAAGATATGCTCTTTGAGTACCTGGGCTGCGCCATGCCCCTTGCTGCTTCGTAGGGCTGGGTTCCTTATCCCGCAGAGCACAGCTCAGGACTCCCTTCCTTAGAGAAGCTCCTTGTGTTCCCTGTTCTATTGCATTACCTCTCCAGCACATTTGCTTGGTGATCTAGATTCACTCGGGTGACTTTTGGTCATTGTCCATCTTTTTGAGATCAAAAAGGTGCTTGAAGCTAACAGAACTCTGTGTGATCTCCCCACCATTGTCCCCCCAGTGCCTGCTTTGGCCACTTTCACGCTGGCTTTCTTGCTTATTTACTCACATTCCATATTTTCTTCGCCTAAGTTACGACTGAGCTGCTTGTGCGTGACTAACTCTAGCCCCAACTCTAAAGAACAGTGTGCTGTTTAACTTGTAGGAAGGAAACTTCATGGCATAGGAGAGCTTGGGTTAAAAATCAAAAGGGCTGGGGCTGGAGCGATAGCACAGCGGGTATGGCATTTGCCTTACATGCAGCCGACCCAGGTTCTATTCCCAGCATCCCATATGGTCCCCTGAGCACTGCTAGGAGTGATTCAGCGTACAGAGCCAGGAGTAACCCTTATGTATTTCTGGGTGTGACCCAAAAAGAAAAAATCAAACGGGCTGTTTTTGTGAGGTGGTTAGTGTTTTTGTTTGTTGGTTGGTTGTTTTTTTGTGGGGGGGGGCACCCCAACAGTGCTCAGGGGTTCCCCGGGCTCTCTGCTTAGGAATCACTGTGGCAGGCTCAGGGACCATAGGGGGTGCCTGTGATTGAACCCAGGTTGGCCACGTGTAAGGCAAGTGCCCTACCTGCTATGTTATTGTTCTGGACCCCAAACAGACCATTTTAAAGTCCTCTTTCACTTCTTTTTTGAGAATTAAACATCACTGATTCCTTTCTTCATTTAATGGGCTTAAAATCTACCTAAAACCCATGAGTCAGAATTCAAAGTGCTCAATCTGAAAGTCTTTGGCCGGGTCGGTGCACAGTGAAGAGCAGCTCACAGCCCTCCCCAGGGGGTGAGAGGAAGTTCTGTCCCTCAGACTCCTGATCTCAGGATACTGGGACATCTCACGGCCATAGCCAAATCATTGTCCCAGACACAGCGTGCCCCTTGTACCACACTCTCTCTTCAACATACAACATTTTCCAGAGAATTAGTTTGGGGGGCCTTGGGGACCATCAAGGATCACTCCTGGAAGTATCTAGGGGACCATCAGTCTATGCGGATAGCACAGGGGGGTGTGGCCCCCATTGTGCAGGTCTTGGGGAGCTGGCAGGGCTGGTGCCCATGCCCTCCCTGGAAAGCCTGGCTCCATTTTTCGGTAGGGAGCATGGAGCTGCGGCTTTGGGAAGGGCCAGGTCTTGCCAGAGCCCAAGAGGCTGCCTCTGCCCCTTACAGAGCGTGGGGCAGCCTGAGAGTGTCCAGCACTGCATCCCATGGGCCTTCCTGTCTGCCTCAGTGTCCAGAGGCTCCTTTTACTGAGGAATGTGAGTGTGAAGGCTTCAGGTGGGCAACCACAGAGGCCCAAGGGCAGCCCATGGGCTCAGGCTGTCCGGCCAGGGCGGATGGGGCAGAGGTGGCTGGAGACCCAACCCAGGACATCTCATGACAGTGTGCCTTTGCTCTCCCTCTCCCCAGGTGCACTCCTCCTCGGGGGCATCCTCTACTCCTGGCAGTTCCCTCACTTTAACGCCCTGAGCTGGGGCCTGAGGGAGGACTACTCGCGCGGTGGCTACCGCATGATGTCCGTCACCCACCCCGGCCTCTGCAGACGCGTGGCCCTGCGCCACTGCCTGGCGTTGACGGGGCTCTCGGCGGCAGCACCCGCACTGGGCGTCACCACGTGGGCCTTCCCCGTCATCTCCCTGCCCATCAACCTCTACATCGCCTACCTCGGCCTCCGCTTCTACGTGGACGCCGACCGGAAGAGCTCCAGGAAGTTGTTCTTCTGCAGCCTGTGGCACCTGCCCCTGCTCCTGCTCCTCATGCTCACGTGCAAGCGGCCAGCACGGGAGGAACAGGGCAAGGGAGAGACGCAGAGCTGAAGTCGCTGTCAGCGGGGAGGTGCAGAAGGACACGTGGGTAGTTTGCCTCTGTGACTGGACAGAGGTAGTTTGGTGATTTGAAGGATGAGAATAGAAATTACGGGGTTTGGTATAAGACTGTAAACTAATTTGGTGCTTAACGATAGGCTGACAATCTTTTCAATGATAATATCCAAAATGTCCCCCAAATAAGCAGTGGATCGACTCAGTATCTGAGTGCAAAGAGAGAGTATCTTTCTTTATGGGCTGTATACTCTCTCCCGTCATTCCATCCCCATCGCTCGGCTTTCTCCTTGCATAGATGTACATGTAACCACCTCCCACCTGCCTTTGTCAGCTGTGGTGGTAACTGGCCCACAGACGAGGTAAGTGCTCTGCTCTTGATAGTCCCAGTTTGTGTCCACAGGCTGTCACCAAGGAAAATGGATGCTGCCACCACTGTAGCCCCTGGCAGCTTCCAGCTTATCCATTACATGTGTTCTCCAGCAGTCAGTTTCCCAGGTGATACAAGGCCAGGGATAGGCTGCCACAGGACCTGTGGAAGTAGATTCCAAAGGGTTTCCTTGAGAATCTCACCTGAACTGCCAGTCCCCGCCCAACACCCACCCCCACCCTGCCCCGCCCCTGCCATTATGTAATTAGCATTTCAAAAACTCCAAGGAATCAAAGGTTTCTTTCTGATTGAGTTTACAATATTGAAGGTATCCTAAGCATTTCTTTTGAAAGAGACAGCATATCATACCAGTCTCTGATCCGTGCCTCTTCCTACAGACACCCTCTGTAGAGGGTCAATTCTTGTATAGCTTTCAGTGAAGAAGAGAAAGCAGAAAAAAAGGTGAGCTGGCCTAGCCAGCGTGCATAACCCCCATTCTTTTCCCATTAGTGAAAAACACATTTCCAAACTGCCGTCTTCTGAAATCAGACGTAAAATTCCATGTATCCAGTGGTCTTAAGAGCCAGAAAGTGGAGTCGCACTCCTGATGGACAGGATTGTAAGTGGACTTGGTCTCACATGCACTTGTCCTTTGGGTATTCCCCTGTGTCTGCTGGCAAGTCCCATTTGCCTTGAAGCTTGACAGGATGTGTGAATCACTCATTCTTCAGGCCACTGCTTCCATGTAGGAATTCATTTGGGGGGTTTCATTGTAATATGCTTATCTAAAAACTCTGTAAAGCAATTGCAGATATCAGTCCCAGTTTCTCCTTGTCAGAGATGTTGTCTCTGGGCTGTATGCAGGTTATTTGCTGTGGGAACATGGCATACAAATGTCTGGAAAAACACCTGCAACTTAATGCAGTGCAGCCCTTAAATTTGATTAGTTCTGTTTTCCTGCTGCAATAAAAACCAGTACATAAAACCAGAAGAGTGTGTGGTATCGTTTATTTTGTCATCTTGTGCTGAGTTTGCATGGTTTCTGGTAGAAGTGATGATAGAATCACACATTCGAAGGCACATCAATGTTTCTGTCTCAGGATGTTTCGAGTAAGCACTTTGGATTTGGATACTTTCCTGAAAGAAGAATAAACGAAGAGCCGTGACTCCATCCCCTCTTTTTGTAATAATCTAGCCTTGACCTTCTTCAAATCTTGCCAAAGAAATCCCCCTCTGGTGCTTCCATTTTAGAAGCAACTTTCTAGTTTTTTCTCCAAAAATCTCCAGCCTTCTGACTTGCACCGCTCCTCGCTGTCCCTGGGGCAGCCAGTGCTAAAGGAACCTGCATAGAGAACTCCTCCAAGCCCTGGGCGACCGGGACTGGAACTTCACACCCCCATGAGCCTGTCCTGTTCCCCTCTGCCCCTCAGAGGATAGTTGTTCTCTCTGTCCTAGACCCCAGGACTGCACATCAGGAGAACCTGGGTGAGAAGCCTGTGCTTGTGAGACTTCTCTCACCTACGGGGAACACACGCCTCTGCCAGCTCTCCTGCAAAGACACTAAACACCTTGACAGTGAAGGCCTCTGAAACTCAAAAATGAAAAATTTGAACAGAATTTTTCTAGTATTCCCAATCCTGCTAATTCCAGAACCCTTTTCCCCCTGTGGCACACCTAGTCAGATTCAGGGTCAGGAGCACTGCCTGGGAAATGCTTTCTGGACCTGGCCTCAGGGTCTTCAGGCCTCTCCAGTCTAAATACAGGTTGGAAGCCCGACTTGGGCAGGGGACCACTTTGGTAGGACAAGGGCTTGATCTTTGAAGTAGGACTTCAGTGGATTTGTTCTATTCTAGCAGATAGAATATACTATGGGGGAATGAGGACACTTATGTTCTTTGCTTTAAGCATGATTATTAACACAGTATTCCTTCCCACGTCTCAATTTTAAAAACTTTTTAATAAAACTACCTTATCAAACAACAAACACTGTCCTCCCATTGTTCATCGAGTTGCACAGTAACGTCTCCATCGTGAGACTTACTTGTTGTTACTGTGTTTGGCATATTGAATATGTCACGGGTAGCTTGCCAGGCTTTGCCATGCGGGCGAGCTACTCTCAGTAACTTGCTCTCTGAGAGGGGCGGAAATATCGAACCCGGCTCGGCCAGGCTGGCTGCGCACAAGGCAAACGCCCTACTGCTGTGCTATCGCTCCAGCCATTTAAAGATAATTAAAATCAATTAAAAATCGAATTTCTCACCAACACTAAAGCCTGTCCCCACAGGAAAATGCTAAATAATTTATTTTGTATTGCTTGTTATGAATAGTATAGAATGTGTAAAACTTTAAATAATTGGGGTCCTGAGACATCTCTGCTGTCGTCTTCTGAGATTCATTTGTGAGTCTTTGGAGCACACTTTAGATCACACCGTTAGTGTGCTCCAGTGGCTCCCAGAGGCAGTTCGTGGGCGTGACCACCAGGACTTTGGATGGGCAGGGAGATGGGGTGGGACAGCCCATACTAGCTTACATGTGGCCTAGAGTTTTCGGTCACTTGTCCCATGTTCCTGGGTTTTTCTTCTGGAGGTTTGTGGTCACTGGCGTTCATCTGCAGTAGGCAGAGAGAGAGAGAATGCCTGCTCCATCTGAGGTGCACCCGTGAAATCAGCTCAGCATGGGGCCCAGGGACAACTGTGTTGAACTGCCTTCTTCTGAGACTCATTTGTGAGTCCTTGGATCATGACCATTACGGTGGGTTTTTCTTTACAACCTAAGAATGGGATTAGCCACATCCAATGGGAACACTTCTTTGGCACTTTAAATATGCTTTGTGTACCCCACGCAGTGCTATAGGAGAATACAAAACTTTAAAAAGTTGTGCTCTCAGAGGCGGACTCATTGTACAGTGGCTAGGCTGTTTGCCTTGTAGGTTTGATCCTCGAAATCCCTTATGGTTCCCAGGGCCCACCAGGAGTGATTTCTGAGTGCAGAATCAGGACTAACCACTGAGCACTGCCAGGTGTGGCCCCCTAGAAAATAAATAAAAAGTTGTGCCCTCTCAGTACTTGCAGAGTTGATTTCCCACTGGTAGAATTCCCTTTTCTCATTCCACCTTGCCATCCTCCTCAGTTCCTGTCTGCTCTGCTAAGAACCTGCAGTATTTAGCACTTCTCTGCCAGTGGCAGTGCTGGAAGCAGCGAAGGTGCTGAGTGACTCGATACACCTCTTACATTCTGTTGGGGCCAAGAGCTCTCCTCTGACACCTGCTCCCCCTCGGCTCTCCCTGTGCATATGACAGGCAACTTACGACTGACTAAAGATGAACTTGGGGAGAAGATTTCTGAAAAATGCCTGTTTGACCCTTTATAGTCCTGCTATAGTCCAAGAGAATTACTCATTGGACTTACACGATGCTCTGGATTGGGATGTTACCTTGTCTTTTTCTCTGAAATTAAGGGCTAGCTAAGTGTTACCCAGTCTCCGTCTGCCACTGGACATCATCTCCACTGGGAGGATCAACCATGTCAGCCAACCAGGCAAGTACATGGAAAACAAATGGACCAGCATTGAGCTTTGAGCTTTTGGCAGGACTGCCTCTGGTCTCTTTCCCATCGTCAATCTGTCAAGTTTTTCAAACTAGTTTATATCTACTAATCTGCCCAGAAAAGCTGTTAAGTTTACTAATGCCTTGTTGAAAACCCAAATGCAACATATCTCATCCTGGACAAATTATAATCCCTACAATTTTATGGCCACAACTTCTTAACCAAATACAACACATAAAGAGTAGGTCTGGATCAATAACTTAGACACTCACTTGCTAAGTCAAGTTCTGGCCCTCAGTTACTGGAACCCCCTTGCCCATCCTAGTATATCTGAGTGGGTGGCATCTCACCACATGCTCTTATATTCCAGTAGCCTTGCCTGAGTCATAACACTGGACTGCTCTCATTAAGGCCATCAAGTTAAGCCCTCAAACTATCACAAGTCTGACTTCCACTTAGTTCCGTCATTGTCACCAACGTAATTATCTCTAGTGTGCCTACAAGCCTAATGAGTTATCTTTCTCCTACTTCTACCACTACTCCTGTCTGTTTCAATATAGCATCCAGCATATATATTCTTCATATACACTAGGCAGGTTATAACATCCTCCCATCATCCACCTTCCCAGGGACTTTTCACCACCACATATGAAGTTGTTTGAGGCTTCATATGACCCAAACCTGATGTCACTTCTCAAAAGCCAGAAGCACACCCGGACAGTCCCTCCTTTTCTCTGCCTAGACCCATCCCCCATCTCTCCTTATGGATCACTTTCTTCCTGCACTAAAATGCCTGCATATATTATTACCTCCTGATTCTCCTGTCTCCCCCATACAATTTGTGGCCCATGAAGCCAAGAACTCCAACTTTGATCACTTTATTCCCAGTTTCTAGAATGTTTGGCATAAGCAGATGCTCAATAAGTGCTTACTGGATGAATAGCTCTGGCTTACATAGAGGAGCAAGATCTGTTAGCCTGAAATCAAGAATAAACTGGAATAGGTGGTTTTAAAGTGGTTGTGTGAGACAAAGACAACTTGGAAACTCATCCTTATCCTGCTGCTCGTACAATCCCTCCCCCATTCCTTTACCATCCCCACTCCTGCCTGCCAGAATCCGTTCAGGACAGCATCATCCAGAAGTCCTCTGACACTTCCTGCCACCAAGCCAAAGATCTTACTTCTTTCTTGGAATCTGCCTTTTCTAACTTCAAACCACTACCCCACCCATCACCATTCTGCTCTATTTGTCTCATGGCACCTCAAAAGCCTGCAGTTTCAACTGTTTCTTGACATTTTTCCCTACTCCCAAGAACAACAGTCACCAAGATGCTCCATCCAGTGATAGAATGGTTGAAGTAGTTTTGGGGAATCAGAAAAATTGTCATCTCTGCTCAATACTGGGACAAACGTTTGAGGGCAGGGAGGTTCGGCATCTCCCCCTGTGACTGAATTCAAGGTGAATACAACTTTCTACCCATTGTGGTAAATTTTTAAACTTTCCTCTGTCTCCAGGGCTGTATCTTGGTTCAGTTACTTAGCAGCAGAGCTCTCAGTCATGTTAACCTCTTGACCCCTCTCTGTCTCTTTCTCTCTCTCTCTCTCTCTCTCTTGCTTTCTCATTCCAGCTCTCTCTCCTCAGTTCCCCTCTTTCTTGTTTGTCTTTTAAAATAGGAAGCAATCCAGTATCTGCTTTCAATTTCTTTCCTAATCAACTTGCAGTGAAGTCATTGTTTGACTCATTTCCAACAGATGTGAGCTCTACTGTCACCTCAAAGTATCAAGCATTCAGTTTCAACTACATGAAAGGAACTCCACCCTGTTCATAAATCAGTGGTTCTGCCTTGGCAATGAGAACCAAAATCATAGGGACCCAAGCAGAGAGGTCAAGAGGGCATATTGGTCAGACTGGGAGGAAGAAGGCTCTCAGGGTTCTGATGAAAGTCTCTCTTCAGCAAATAGCAACCAGGGGGCGCTATAGGCTGGGACACTTCAAGAAAATGTTAACAGCCACTCATTGAAGAGAAATCATCGTGAACAAAGCTGATAAGGAAGCCGATGACATGGGAGACTTTGGAGTGGACAAAGCCAAGTATTTAGCTAAGTAGCCCCTCCTATCTCCATACATCTAAGAGTTGTGACCCTAAGAGCTGTGACCAAGTCATTAAGCTGACTGACAAACAGTTCCGAAGAGCCTTTCCAGGCTTCAACAAACAGACAAGCACAAACATAAACAATTATCAAGTGAGAGGAGAGGCCTCTACTCCTCAGCAGGAGTGAGGTTACTCAATAGCCATTTCTTCTCTTATCCACTGAGCAAATAGTTGTTTGAGAGTCCTGTGTGCTAGGCCTTCCTTGTGTAGGAGAAAGAGATGAACCAAAAATTGACCCAGGACCTACTCTGGAAATCACTGGCCCCAGCCCTCCCCGCTCCCCCGTC